TCAGTGTTCCGAAGCAGACACTTGAGTCGCTTTCACTTTAAAAAGAGTGGAAGGTCTCAGAATTACATTTCAACATTTCAAGACCCACAGAAGACAGGTGACCACCGCGACATGGATGAGAAAGGCCCTGTTATCCTCTCTCTGTGGAAAGTGCCGGAAGAAATGTGTGTGTACTCGGGCTTTATTGTTGCTTCACATCTTGGGCACTGCTTCCTTTTAGGGGTGAGGGGAGGCGATTGCTAAACTGTTCTGTCCACACAACGTTTCTGATACAACAAAGTCAAGGCTAGAGCAGAAAAAACTCCGCTGTCAGTGAACAAATACTCCTTCCCGGTGCTCTTCAACCCCGTGCCCCTAAGATCTGTGACAACGAGCCAGCGCGTTTACTGTTTGTCTAAAGGACACAGTAACTAGGCAGGCGTGGCGGCACGCACCTCTAATCCCGGTCCTTAGACGGCGGAGGTGGGCAGATCCCTGTGAGTTCGAGGCTGGTGGGGGACAGACAGCCCAGTGGTTAAGGATGCTTACTGCTCTACCAAGTTCAGTTCCTAGTACCCACATGGGGTGGCTCGCAGCGGGCCGCAACTCTAGCTCCCTCTTCTGGCCTCTGTAGGTACTGACATAAATCTTTTTTTTTTTTTAAAGGACTGAGTAACCAAATTCTAAATGCTCACACATTCTCAGGACACAAAAAGTCCAGGGATACGTATTTACCCCACAGGCGTACTTCACACACAAGAGACATTACATGAAACTATTCGTTACAGTGCTACTTGTGATTACAAAAATTAAAAAAAGACAATAAATACCCCGGACACAAGCCTATAATATCAGCACTGAGGAGAGACAGGAGAAAGACCATGAGGTCAAGGTCAGCTGTAGAATATGGTGAAACCCTGCCTCAAAAAATAAATAAATAAATAAATAAATGGCCAGGCAATGGTAGTGCACGCCTTTAATCTCAGCACTCGGGAGGCAGAGGCAGCCTGTGGGTTTGAGGCCAGCCCCTGGTCTACAGAGTGAGTTCCAGGACAGGCTCCAAAGCTATACAGAGAAACCCTGTCTCGAAAAACCCAAATAAATAAATAAATAAATAGATGAAAGATAAGCCGCCTGAACAGGAATCAATAAAGTACAAATGAAATAACTCATGGTTCAAGCCAGGCATGCGTAGGTGGAGGCTTTACGGCTATGGATGTAGTGAGCTGCCCTTGACGCAGGAACAGAAACACACGTGGTTAAAGCTAGATAGACTACACAAGGGTTGGAGTACCCAGACTTCAGGTTGCAGTCCACCATGTCCGGACAGCCCTCTGAGCTTGGTGCCAAATGGGGGGCTCTCTTTCCTGCCGGGCTCTCTCCCTATGTGGATAGTGTCTCTAGGCCCCGGGGCCTGACCTTATCTGGAAGCTGTCCCTAAACCTGGTTGCCCGACCTTTCTCAAGCGTGACCTTAGACACAGATCTCTGCGGATGCTCTCCCCCAGCTGCCCATATGATAGTTAGGTATTGTGCTCCAGCTGTATGGTGGGCCCATGCAGCAAACCGCCAATGAGGTGATGCCCCAGCCGCTGTATCCATCCGCTGTATTTCCCCTCACTCCAGAATAAAGCTGGACTGTGTCACTGAAACTGTCGCCTGCAAGCCGTGTGAACCCTGCTCACTCTCTTCTGTTCCCTCCTCCCTCTCAGACCGGAGTCCCCGAGGAAGAAGAAGACCCACACATAAGGAAAGAAAATATACAAGAATCAGTGCCCGGGCTAGCTCTCGCTAATCAACCCTGACCTGAGTCCCTGGAACCCACAAAAAGGCAGAAAAGAATCAACTCCACAAAGTAGGCCTCTGACCTTCACACACACACACACACACACACACACACACACACACACACACACATACACTATTTTTTTTTTTCAAAAGAAGTATCTCTGAGAAAGAGAACTGATAAAGACTTGAGAGGCTACAATTCAATTAACCCACAACTTAATACATGATAATTTAATAAAAATAGTAACTAATACAATGGTACATAGTTGTCATGTTCTAACCTTACACTACATAAACTAAGTCAATATTCTTCTTTAGACATAAATGTTCTCATATGTGTCTTACTTCACTACAGTAGCAAGCCCTTTTATCATTTTAATTACTTCTCTCTCTCTCTCTCTCTCTCTCTCTCTCTCTCTCTCTCTCTCTCTCTCTCTGTGTGTGTGTGTGTGTGTGTGTGTGTGTGCATAAGGGCTTGCTGCCTGTGGAAGTCAGAGGACAATTTTGGGGAGTCAGTTATCTCCTTCCACTGTGTGGGTCTGAGAGACAGAACTTAACAGCGGGTACCTTTACCACTGAGCCAGCTCACTGGCCTTCAACTTCTCTTGAGAAAATAAACCTAACGTAAGTATTTTTATATCCTGCTAGCACAGCATTTATCGCAGTATGATGCACTCAAGAATATGTGCCTTAGGGCTGGAGAGACGGCTCAGCAGGTAAAATCACTTGCTGCT